TGACCCCACTCCTCTGACACTACACTGAGGACACTGACCCCACTCCTCTGACACTCACTGTGGACACTGACCCCACTCTTCGACACACTCACTGTGGACACTGACCCCACTCCTCTGACACTACACTTATCATGCACGGTGCTTCAGGATCACAGAGGCCCTGAAGAAGAGCCTAAAGTCAGGGGGAGACCCTGGACTGCTCTGCCTGGATAGTGGTGCCTCTGTGCTCAGGTGTGAGCTGGCCAGGCCCCTGCCCATAGCAGCCCAGGTTTTTTCCTAGAAGCCAGAATGAAGACTGGGAAACCAACAGCTCAGTTGGGTCAGAGTTCTTATAGTGTGGCCAGCTGCCTCCAAGCCCAGTCTGTCAACGCTTCCTCAGGCCTGCACTGAGGAACTCTGGAAAACAGTCTCGCACACATCCGCCAGTGCTCTGCCTGGACCTGTCTCCCTGCATCCATCTGTCCATCCTCCCTGGAGTCACGGATCAGCCTGGTGGCAGTCACGGATCGCTGGCGTTAAAGGGAGGAGGCTCCAGACAATGAGATGACTGATTGAAGCGAGTCTGTAGTCTTCCAGCTCCGGGCAGAACTCATGTGCTGCAGCCGGGCAGCTCCGTCCTGCAGGATGAGCAGACACAACAGCGAAAGTGCTGTTTGTGAACCATCAATGTCATACAGACGCTGCAGCAGGTTATAATCTCCCACTGAGCGCCGAGATGCAGCTCCTAAATCGTGATTTTAATGTTCATATTAGCAATTCATGTTGATTATGCCTTCTGGTGTTGTGGAACTATTTTAGAAGAAAATGGTATTTAAATAATTTAATTACAGGGCAACCCAGTACAGCAGCAATGTGTTTGATATAAGACAATTACACACTCAGTGCCTTTTTATTGAAGAACAGCAGCTCGGGAAGCCCGACTGCAGAAGAGAGAGCAAGACTTGTCTGAGGAAAATCACAGAGTGCAGTTCGACAGACCAGTGTGAGCACGTCGCTGCAGGAGGACACTGACAGCTTCATCTGCGCTCTGTGCTGCAGGTGCCAAACACTGGCTGCTCTCGACACAGTGTGCAGATGTACAGTACTTCAATATGGACGAGCCTCTCACCCTCAGCTCTGGGAGGAGAGGACAGTGCAGGCTGAGCTCCAGGAGGAAGAAAGTGGCAGGATGTCCCAGTGAAAACTGAGGAACACCCCTGTACACCCCCCTTTCCAGGCCAAGGGTCAGCACTGGTCAGCACAAGCCTGTCAGGGGTCAGCTGACCCAGGAAGCCTCTTGGGAGAGAAGGTGGTGGTTATGGGGGGTCACTGTGAGGTCAGGACCTCAAATTCTTTCATAGATACTGAGAGTTTTGTGTTTTGTTTTTGTCTGAAAAAGAGCATCAAAGGAGTATCTTGGAACTCCCTCATTTCACAGATGTGGCCTCACTGCGCTGCCTGTGTGCAAGAAGAGATCTGGCCCTGCTGCCACACTGGCAGAGAAACTAACTGCTTCAGCTGCAAAATGTCCAAACCCAGATGGGTGATACTGAACTAGAAGATACTGGGTGATACTGAACTAGAAGAAGCAGCACAACAAGGGACAACAATGCTTTTGGTTAAACAAGTAAGAGCCTGGAGGAGTGTGGCGTTCAAATCAAGGAAATAATCTTCTAATCATGATACTCTGTGCTGGTTAGACCTCACATGGAGCAATGAGCTCAGCTCAGGTCCCCATGCTACAGGAAAGACACTGCTGCTGTAGGAGCAGGACAACTGGGCCTGGTTCTGGTTCTGGTCCGAATGAGCTGAGCCGCTCTAGTCTGGAATGGGTTGGATAACTGCAGCCTTTCCAGTGTGTCCCTGTCCTTGACACTAACAGAGATCAAGGTAGAAGAGAGGGTTTAATGCTCAGTGGTGAGATTGCCTGGTGCAAGTGCTCAGGGGGAAAGGGGAAGGAAAAATGTTGTCATTAAGTCATGGCACCTGGTGTAATCACAGAACCTGTCTTGAGCAGACTGAGTGAGTGTAACTTCTCTCCAGATCCACTTTCCTCTGCGGGATGCGCCCTGTGGGCCTGGAATCCTGCAGCCCAGGACCGATGGAGAGTGTCGCCTGTGAGCTTGTTCAGACAGCAGTGCGAGGTGGACAGTACTTCAACCAGCCTGATCACGACACTTGAAATATAAACAGAAGAAAGAGAAAGAGAGAGGACAGGAGTCTGCTGTCCCACTTGGGCTGTTTGGTAGATAGCAGTTAAATGATCCCAGGATCTCATCCAGCTGTTTCTTGAAAGAAGCCAGGGTATCAGCTGTAACACCATCAGCTGTCTTTGTTTAGGAAAACGATGTCCAAGGAAACTGATCTCAGCTGACAGTGACCCTCTGTTGTGTCGCTGTATATTTATGGGTTGTAAAGGGACCAGACCTGCACCAGCCTGAGGAACACCTCTATAACTGCTGGTCAGAATAGGGGTACCTGGGGCACAGATCAGGCCAGGTCGGAGTGTGTGTGTGTGTGTGTGTGTGTGTGTGTGTGTGTGTGTGTGTGTCCACAGGGGTACAGGCATTGTTTTTCCAGGCTGTGTTTCTGGTCAGGTCAGGAGTGTGTGTGTGTCCACAGGGGTGCAGGCAGTGTGTATCCAGGCTGTGTTTCGGGTCAGGTCAGGGGTGTGTGTGTATCCAGGCTGTGTTTCTGGTCAGGTCAGGAGTGTGTGTGTGTCCAGGCTGTGTTTTGGGCAGCTATGCACAGGCAGTGGATAGCTGAAGTTAATTTATTCAGAGGTGACAGCAGCACTCTTCCCGCAGAGTGACTCCCCCCGGAAAGCCGCTCTCTGCCTCGTGTTTGAACGGCCACTTTCAGACGTGCCGGCAATGTTTCTCGTGCGGGGCCAGGAGCACACGCGTGGGGTCGGGGAAATCCTGGTAAAGGACGAGTGGCTGGGCGCGTGTCTGCTCCCCGCGGGGCTGGGCGTCATCCTCGGGAAGACTCGCATTTTCTGTAATCCGGGATTTTGGCAAACAGGGGAAGCTTCACCTGCGGGCCGCTGCAGGGCGGGGGGCGCGCGGCCCAGCTCGGAGCTCCTATTGGCTGCGAGGCGGCCGGGAGGAGGGGGTGCGGAGGAACGCGACCTCCTTACAAGAAGCTCAAAGAGCCGAGAAGAGACAGAGAGGAAAAGTCGCTTCAGGCGGTCGGGCAAGCCTGGGACTGCAGCGGAGAGCCTGAGCCGACAGAGAGAGGGGGGGAGTAATACTAAAATAACAGACGCAGAAAGAAAAATAGATTCCGCCCGGTTGCACATTTGCGTGGACTGGAGATGGTCCGGGGCTCCGTGCTGTTGCTGCGCTGAACTCGAGAGGGGTGGACGCACGCTGCTGTGAACAGATCCGTGTTTATAGAAAGTTCCCAGGCGGCCAAGGTAGCGAGGAAGAGCGGTCTGGAGCATGAGCAGCATCTGAGCGGTGAGTGCGGTGTCGGTTCGGAAGCGGCGCTGCGGTCCAGCCGGACAGACTGGGCTGCGGACAGGCTGAGGGGTCAGAGTGACCGGCGCTCACCTGGTCCGGCGGGTACACAGCGGGTTCATACCAATTCCGCTGCGAGGGGAGATCATTACTATTGTCATTGTCGTTGTTGTGACGATATTTAAGCACCACATGTAAGGGTTGCAGGAACTTTGTTTTACGGTTACCAGCGATTATCCTACGCGTCTCCCTGTCCGTCTGTCGCGTTTCCGTTATCTGAAGTGGGAAAGCGCAACAGGGCGGCCGGCACGCAACATGGGCATTAGGCCGGCATTAAAGATAAATAATAAGATGCATTTAAATTTGCAGTTATGAAACGCGCTGGCAGGACCTGTGGTCCATTAGTATTGGAGTTGTGCTGCTGTCCTGCTGTTGAAACCTGCCGGTGAAGTCACTTTTAACATCATGGGCAGGAGACACTTCTGGGAGGGTCTGTTACCCGGATCCTGTGTGTCCTGGGGGTACAGCATCAGCATGCCATGCCCTCTCACCTGAGAGCCCTGGCGATGGTGCTATGTGCCTGTATCAGTGCTCTGTGCCCCTCTCCTGAGAGCCCTGGTGATGGTGCTGTGTGCCTGTATCAGTGCTCTGTGCCCGTCCCTGGTGATGGTGTTTCTCAGCAGCTGCCCTGTAGCTGGGCCTGGTGAATCCCAAACCAGGGCTCCTGTTCAATATGTCCTGGTCCTGGAAAACTCCTGCTTCCACCATGGTGTTGAAACCAATATCTTGGCGTCTTTCAAGAAGCAGCTGGATGAGATCTCAGACCAATACCAACCAGGCCAGATGGGGAAACTCAGAGACTCCTGATGTCCTTCTAGCACAGGTGCTTTGATTCCCTAATAAAGTGGGGGGCCTTCATTCTCACTCTCTGACATGGTCAATGGGAGGTCACTGCCAGCAATGCGCTGGTGCAGTGAGTTGCGGTCAGGTGGGGTCAGGTGGGGACAGGGAGGGTCAGGTGGGGTCAGGTCGGGACAGGGAGGGACAGATAGGGACAGGTTGGATGTGGACCTGCAGGTGACACAGTGGCTGGTTAAGGGGACTGTGGGAAGATGGCTGTGCAGACCAGACGATTGCTGGCCACTGATCACCAAGCCTGGAGAAACAGCTCCAGTCGCAGGACCATTCTGTCAGAAGGAGAAGCTTTAGCGGCGGCCTGGGGGACGGACAGGGGAGGACGCGGGTCGGGCGTGGAGGCTGCCAGGCCTGCGCCAGCCCGGGCCGGGAGGTTCTCCTGCTGCCAGCCTGGAAGAGCAGCTGTGTGAAGACAGGACGGGCTTGCGAATGGAGCTGTGGCTGAGGCATGCGGGTGTGAGGTTACAGTGCCGCAGGGGAGAGCCACAGCGGCTGGGAGACAATGGGAGCAGTAATTACAGAGAGGGAAGGTGCTTGTTTTCTCTGGGAAATCCCGGAGCCAGGAAGCAAAAGTGAACACAGCACAGGTGTGCTGGTTGTCAGGGAGGATCCTGTGTTTCCGCAGGTCGGGTCGGGGTCAGTTTTACTCACTGGCACCACCTAGTGTCTGCGGTGAGAACTGCCAGTGTGCAGCAGAAGGGTCAGGAGGTGAGGTGCACAGGGCTGGGCAGGCTGGCGAGCAGGAGGGTCAGTGAGTTTGGAGGCAGGACGGGACAGAACTGGGCTAGTGGGTTAGTTAGTGGCTGGCTGGGTGAATGATCTGCTGGTTTGTTAGTAAAGTGGGGCTGGGCTGTGGTGTGATGGCCCAGTTGAGTGTTGAGTGGGTTGTGGTCAGCTGTTGAGTTGCTTGGTGTTGATGCACCAGGTGGGTCACTGGGTTGGCTGTTCAATTCCACGTTTCTCAGGCTCGGTGGATGAATGATTCCCAGCCTGTAGGCTGTAGTAGAGCCATGTACCTTTGGTCACCAACATGAGAAATAGCTCTGATTGTGGAACTAAACTGCACAGGCTGTCCATCATGGTGTCCTTGTGTCAGTTAGGTCATCCTATCCAAGCAAGATCAGTTTTGGGGTGTTAAAAGGGAACCTACCATGTTGGCCAGCTGGTTAGTTATTCAGGTGGTAGACGAGTTCATTTTGTTGGTTGTTGGTTGTGGTGAGTGGTTAGTTTGCTTGGTGGAATGGCAGGTTGGTCAGTTATTGATGTAGTAATGATGTTTAGGTAAAATGAAGTTGATGGTTTTGTGATTGATATTGTTTTTCTACAGTATAATCTCATATATAGCATCTTTCATGTACAAGTAAGTTTTATTCCATGCTGAGAAGAGCATTTCGACTGTAGAGCCTTCTTCGAGTGTGAAAAATTTCATGTACACCCAGCTCAAAGCACTATACATTGGTGTAGAGCTGTTCAGTGCCTTGAACATAGACTTTTCTGAGACTTTTCCAGCTGGTTCTGAGTCTCACAGTGAGCGAGTGCAGTGGAGCCGGTACAGGAGTTACACACCACTGAGAGCAGCTTGAAAGGGAGCCTTTGTGCTGGTTGAGTGTTTGGTGAGCTTGACTGTGGTTTTGAACAAGGTGAGATGAGAGTTAAACTCTGGGTATTGCTGCAGTGAGGTGTAGGCAAGTGTAGTCAGGGTTCGCTTCCAGCCGCTGGTGAGAGTACAAGTACTTACTGGCTGGTATAATTACGCTAAGCTTTAGTATTATTGCGTTCTTTAAGGAATTTTTCTGGTGCCCTGAGGCTGTGGCTGCACTGCACTCAGCTGTTCCCTAAATTGCTTGGTTTGATGAGTGAGGAAGGAGGGAATGAGTTCTCACCCTTTTGATAAGCACTCTGACTCATCCTGGTCCTCTCTGTGCTGCGATGGAGCTGCATGCAGGGCGTTTCTGCAGGGAACAAAGACTTTCAAGAGGCGGCGAGCAGTTTTATGGGAGTGTCAGAGGAACAGTCCGTAGAGCCTGTGAGAGGGCGCGCGCCTTTTCGGTGTCTTTATGGAGGGCTGTAATCCCAGGGTTTATGGCGCAGGCAGGCTCAGGGTTAGCAGCAGAGAACAGTCAGGCGTGTGGAGGGACAGACTGAAGAAGCCTCAGTGCAGGGAGACCGGGTGCCTACTGACCTACCCTCACTGACCACTGATTACTGACCTACTCTCAACACACTGACCACTGACTACAGATCTACTCTCAGCACACTGAGCACTGACCACTGAGACTACCATCAACACACTGCCCAGTCAAAAAGTTCATAAGAAGACATGAAACAAAAGGGTATTAAAGATCAAGAACAGGAGGCACTTTTTTTACACAAAGGGTTGTGGGGGTCTGGAACAATCTATCCAGCTATATTGATGATGCTGATTTGCTGGAATCTTTCAGATCAGTTTTCTCGGATCAGTTAGAGAAAGAAGAGCCTATTGGCCTGTGCTTTTTGTAGCCTTTCCCATGTTTTAAGATCCTTGTTTTCCATGATCTCCTGTCTCCTCGTGGAGTGTCTGCTTACACGAGTGGGTGGTCTCTGGGGGGAGTGGTTTGGATCGGCACGCCATGGGGAGCTCTCTGTGTGGGAGTCCCCAGACTGTGGGGGGCTGCAGGGCTGGTGAATCACTCATCCTGCAGCTGAACTGGTGCTCTAAATATTT